AAAAATAACAACACTTTGTCAGGACCATGAGGCGATCATTCCTACCAACTTTCAGTTCAATCGGTCCAGCAGAACTTGACTTTAAGTTTGAAATAGGTTTTCAAAATGGCGGCCGTGGCGGCCATATTGGATTTCTGATCGACCCGAAAAATAACAACACTTTGTCAGGACCATGAGGCGATCATTCCTACCAACTTTCAGTTCAATCGGTCCAGCAGAACTTGACTTTAAGTTTGAAATAGGTTTTCAAAATGGCGGCCGTGGCGGCCATATTGGATTTCTGATCGACCCGAAAAATAACAACACTTTGTCAGGACCATGAGGCGATCATTCCTACCAACTTTCAGTTCAATCGGCCCAGCAGAACTTGACTTTAAGTTTGAAATGTAAAATGTTAACGGACGACGGACGACGGACGACGGACGACGACGGACGAAAACGGATAGCAATAGATCACTTGAGCTAAAGCTCAGGTGACCTAAAAATACACATGTACAACTAATGAAAAGACTTAGTCTTCCATATCATGATATTGATATCACGGAGAGACAACTTTGACTGAAGTATGCATTTTACCATAAAGTGACATAAAAAGACTAAGAGAGAAAAGATCAAATGAAAGCAATAGTATGCAACTCTACCAGATAATGATGTTGTAGATAAATACGGAAAACCCATGTTTAAATGAAAGAAAAAGATGGCAGTTTTACCCAAATCTGATACAAAAGAACAAAACAAGTATGTACAACTGAAGGGAAGAGAAAGCATTATGATGCACAAGGAAACCAGAGATTGCAAAGGACAGATATGATTAAAAAAAAAAAAACACAAATATGCATTGTACTGATCAATGATGGTAAAACTGGAGGGAAATCCTACCTTCAACTACCACTCGCGGATACAACAGAGGCTTAACACCGAGATGTAGTTTAAACATGCAAGAGTTATTTCCCCTGTACTTTAACGTTTCTCAGCATGATGCTTTGAGGTAGAGATAATGATTTCCGATTTAAAAATATTTGAAGTGATTATAGTGATTAGATATTATGATATGTTGTTACATAAACTGCATTCTTTACCGAAAATGATATACACGTATGCATACCACGAAGAGTGAAAGAAAAATGGCTAAATTGCTTTTACAGTTCATCAAATCTACATGTATTTAAAGGTAAATAAATAAAGAAATTCCAGGAAACCTTTGCATCGATTTCCAAATTTTGGACTGTGACCCGACATGCACGTGTACATAGGTGTAACTGTATCCTGACTCCGAAAGAATTAGTTGTCAGTAACGCATGCAAATAACGATTGTGCCAAATACCCCTATCTTATCGCATGGTTCTTTGGTTCAGTTAGTTTATGGAACGTATAATACAACTACAGCACACAAGAACAAGCCAATAACCAAATACTTCCCTGTGACTGTACTAGCACAAGTTAGTCTTTGTTGATCGATCTGGGCTCCTGCTTTATAATTAGGTAATGCAGTTGATACCAAATCGATCTACAGCACTAGATGGTGGATAAAAACATACAATATTGAAATGTATTTGTTAGTGTGTCCAGGGATGTCCACTACACGTCCCTGGTGTGTCAGAGTGTATGCAATTGATATTTTAATGAATCTGAGTTGTGGAAAAAGACTTAGAAAGTTTAAAAAAATACACAAAAAAACATATTTGTTGATAACTACATTTTTTTTAGTAAAGATATATTCGTCAATATTGTGTGACAGAATCATTGAATTGTTGTGTATACTTACTGAAGTGTAGACTTTATTGACATG